GGCTGACTTACCTACTAACATTTCCAAACCATTTGTTCTCTGACCTCCTTATGTACCAAGACTTTCGGTATATCCTACATTTCAGAAACAATACGATTTTAATCGGTATTTTAAAATACCTTAACTCTATCAATTTCTATCATTTGCCACTACTGTAATTCAGAATGTATATTCTGTTAAATGATAAGTGTGAAGAATAAGATAGGAAAAGCAAATCAATACATTCTTAACTCAAGTCAGACTTAGTAACTCACATTTAACTCAAATTTAAATAACTTCTAAAACATAATTAATCCTTATCTTGGCTCTAGACATTTTACAGATAAGCATCCAACTCTGCAAACAGCAAAATTAAACATCTATGTGACTCCTTCAATTGCTAGAATGAAGTAATGAGGTTAAAAATAAAAACCCTAATGTATGAATCAATTAAAAAATGTCATGATCTTTATCTCACCCAGAAGAAAAAAGGAAAGTATTCCTCAGGTGGTCTCTACTCTTTTACATGCTTTTTTCTAACAAGTCTAGCCCTGAATCTTCACACAATACACCACCTCCCCTATGGAAAGGGAGGCAGGTAGAAGAACCAGCATTTCCTTCAAATTTCCCAACTTTTAGGCTGCTGGATCAAAATTAAACAAGTCAACCAATAAAGGAGATTTAAGCAGTTTGACATTCCTCAAAAAGCTAAACAGATAAAAAGTATAGGACCCAGCAATTCCATTCCTAGCTAAATTCTCAAGAAAATTGACATAAAGTCCACACAAAAACCAGTACATAAATGTTAAGAACAGCATTTTACACAACACTCAAAGGGAAAACAACTCAAGTATAAATCAACTAAAAGGAAGTATTTTAAGGTAGTATATCCACAATGGAATATTATCCAGCAGTAAAAGTACTAATACATATTACAATATGGATTAAACTTAACATGAAAAGTCAGTCACAAGAGACCACATGGTGTATGATTTCATTTATTAAAAATGTCCACAATAGGGGAATCTGCAGACAGAAAACAAGTTAGTGTTTGCCTAGGTCTTGGGGCAAGAGAGATGAAGAAAAAAGGATAGTATGTTTTTGAGAACAGAACTTTTGGGAGTATGTTGTGAAATTCTTTTCAAGTTGACTGTCGTGATGGTTGCAAAACTTTGGCTATACTAAAACTCACTCAACTACACACTTCAGATAGACAAACAGCATGTTATGTGAATTATATTTCAGCAAAACCTGTCATTAAAAAAGAAGAGGAGCTGGGCATTGATGGCTCATGCCTGTAATCTTAGCTACAAAAGAGACTGAGAACCAAGGGTCACAGTTGGAAGCCAGCCCAGGCAGGACTCCATGAAATTCTTATCTCTAATAAACTACCAAAAAACTGGAAGTGGAGCTGTGGCTCAAGTTGCAGAGTGCTAGCCTTGAGCAAAAGCAGCTCAGGGCAGCGCCCAGGACCTTAGTTCAAGCCTCAGAACTGGTGTGCTTGCACGTGTGTGTGTATGTGTGTGTGCGTGCGCGCGCGCGCACGCACACACACACACACACAACTCCTCACCCCCATAAAATTATCCTATCATACTGCAAAGCTCAAGTAGTAGAGTACCAGCCTAGCAAGCTCCAACCTTGAGTTCAATAACACCAAATAAACAAACAAATTGAGAAAAAATGGCCAGAAGAGTGGCTCAAGTGTTCTAACATCTGCCTGGACATCTACCTAGCAAGCATGAAACCTTAAATTCAAATTCCAGTACTGTACTCTTCCCCCTTATATATAAAGCATGTGACATAAAAATATATCAAAACTTCAATAAGTGGCATCCTTGAGTTATACAATTATAGAGAACCTTTTAAAAAACTTTTTTACTTCTCTATGTCCCAAGTTTGTAAAATACTTTACTCTTATGAGGTAAATCTGAAGAGTTTCATATCAAATATATGATACATAATAGACATTATCAACTAGTACAGTCCCAGGTTAATACTGGGATCATGTCCAAGACTAGCAACAGAGCTGGCACTATGCAATTGTTTTAATTACCCAGCAGCAGTTTTCCATACCAACTTCCTCCCAGACACATCAGATTCTACTCATCCCATTTCATTTCCTACAAAATAAACTCAGAATTTATACTTTGAACTAAGTTGCCCAGGTGACTGTGCCATACACTCCCACCCTAACGTTTTAGGGAACAAAAGTGAACAAGCACTTAATGGATACAAACTAGCTTCAATTTAAACAGTCAAAAGCCACAAGAAGGTGGTAACAACAGGATCACCACAGAGGCTAAAAGTGGTAGAAGCCTTTCGTTCTTTGTTCTAAGTAAAATTCAACCCAAGAAAATATACTGGAGAAACATACACTGTCCAAATAATGCACCAGTAGGTTTGTTTTACATTAACTAACAACACAAATTAAAATGCCCTAAAAACACTGAAAATATAAACAGCAATTACAAGCCCACCAAAAATAGAAAAAGTAACCTAAAAAAGGTATTTACTGAAAATGTTTATAGCTAGTTGGCAATCTGACACATTGTACAATTAAAATCTAGCTAATTCAGAAATATTACCTGCCTTACTTAATTGTTGGTAGTGCCAGCACATAATATCCATTTGTAACATTTTCCAAAAACACAATGTATCATTAATTGTAGTGTCACTGCTGTGGTAGGCTCTCTTGAAATTTATTCTTTTAACTGTAATTATGTATTTTTGACTGGTCAATTTTTGATTTGAGCTATTTAACAAGCACCCCCCCCCCCCACAAATCTACTCATAGCTAGTATGCTAGGCAGCTTTACAAAATATCAATTACCTTAATCTGAGATATTTAGCTAAGACAGAAGCATCACTGAAAACCAAGGTTTACCTATAGTGGGTTTTTTTTTTTTTTTTGAAGACTAAATCTAAAATCTAAGTCTACTTAATACAAGATCTCTGAAGGGGGTCTAGACTGAGAAGGAAGCTGGAATCTTAAGAATCTCTGGGAAGCACTACTGTTCTTAAATCTGCTTCTGCAGAATTAAGTAGCCAAACTCTTCACCAATAAATAGTATGCTCAACGTAGAAACAGAGAAAAGGCTGGAACAGGCAGAAATCACCTGCTTAGACTAGAAGCTCTTTGTACAAGAAGACTGTGTCTTAACCTTAGGTCCCCAGTGCTGGGCACAGAGGAGTTCAAGAAACATTAGTTGAAAGAAGGAAATGTATCTGGATTAGAATGCTTACCAAAAAAAAAAAAAAAAAGGGGGGGGGGGGGGGGAAGCAGTGTACAAAACCCGAACTGAACATTTAAAATGAAACCACCTAGGCGACTCTGCCCCACCCCCCAGTCTTCTTTTCTAATAACCTTGAGCCCTACTACTGTTTCTTTAGTTTTTGTCATCATAAAAAGATCTGACTCAAAATGTTGCAGGCCAAACGTTAAATACCCGCATCTACTGTTTTATGCTTACTAAGCATATGAATATGTCGAAAATTAGAAAAAGTTGAGACAAATATGAGCTTTTACAAAATCTTTAAATTTGCAAAAAATATGATGGCAGGCTTACACTCTTCTCAGGACTAACAAGATACAAAAAAAAATTAAACTACATTCCTTGTAGACCATGTACAATTATCAAATATAATTTCCCCCCCAAATTCCTCAGCCAAAGTCTTAGGTGGTGAACACTGACTGCAAGCACCAGTGGGCCTCCCAGGAATAACTTGGTAATAAAGAAAAAGGTAAATAAGAAACGTTCCTGGTAAAACTTTTGCTTCCTATTCCAGTCTTCAGATTGCAGTGAGGCTTTCACCATGTGGAGCAAATAAAATACACTGCTTTATCTGCACGGGGGTTTACTCAGCCCCCGCTCCCGACCACCCTCCAACGTTCTTTAGTGAATTTCCAAAGGTACGTACTAATGCTTTTCGGTAGTACGCAATTTACCTTCGGGCAATTTGCAAGCAAACAAATAGCATTACAGATGAAATCCTTCAAAGGTGGAGGGAAAAAGGCGGCACCTTTAATTGGTTTTAAAAGACTTAAATTCTTTCCTACACACTAGCAGGACAGGAGTGATGACGCAAATTTTAGGGTAAAGGGACGGATACCGCATCTATTTTGAATAATATCCTGCGACGGATCAATACATTTAACTCCTGGCCAACCCACCTTTTTTTCTTTCTCCTTTACGTCTGTTCCCACCAAAACGAAACTAATCCATAAAAACACGAAGCCCCCCCCCAAACTTTAGATGCTGGGGAGACTTGTACATTCCTTTGCTTAAGTCCCAGAGAAGCGTTACAACAGACCTTTACTAAGTTTGTGCACAAATTAGAACTCTACTCAAGCCTGTTAAATCTCCAAGCCACAGAGACAAGCCTTTTACCAAGCGTACCCACACATTTCGTGTCGCTTACGTGCATTTTCAACCCGATTCAAGAGTGTGGTTTACTGTTTTCTTTACGACAGATAGCATTCACAGTAGACAAACTAGCTAACCTTTCTTTCCTCTCTTTGTAAGAGTCCATTTGTAACAAGGAAAAACAAAAAAAAGTCAGAGACACGGAATGGATGCCCCCGTGTTCCCGAGGAGGAGGAGGGTTTCTGCGAAAATTCACTGCCAGCACAACAATCGGAGGCAGCCAAGGGCAACGCACAAAGAGAACAGAGAAGAGACACACATTCCACGGATGCACCAGGCTCCGCTACGGGCATCCTCACCCCTGCCCGGCAAGGTCACCGGAGGCCACGGCCCGAAGGCCAAGGGAGCCCCGCGGCGGCCCCGAACACGGGCTAACCCGGCCTGGATGCCGGGGCCCGCGGTGCCGGGGCCCGCGGTGCCGGGCTCCGGGCCTGCCCGTCCTCCTCCCCGCGGCCCCGGCCTGTCGGCGCCCTCCGCGCCCGCCGGCGCTGCCTTTTCCGGAGACGTGTCTAGGCGGGCAGGGATCCCCCCCCCGCCCGGGCTCCGCGGCGAGCGGAGCGAGGAGGGCGCGGGGCCCCCGGGACCCCCACTCACCCTCCAGCAGGCGGGTGATGAGGCTGTCCACGTTCAGCTCTCCGTCCGCCATCTTGTCGGCACCAGCCTCTCCTTCCCGGCCGCGGTAACAAGGGCTTCTCGGCGGCGGCGACGGCTCGGCGTTCTCTCACCTACGAGTCACGCGGCGTTTCGACCCCGGTCCCACCGCCCCCTCCCCGTGCCCGCCCCCCCCCCCCCCGCCCCGCCGAGCCGCGGGCGCGCGGCACCCCGAGACACCCGCGACAACAAGCAAACAAACAAGCAAGCCCGGGCCCCCCACGAACCGGGCAGCGTCAGACCGAAGCCGCCACCTCCTTCTACTCCTACTCCACTACCACCTCCTCCTCCTCCTCCGCCGATCCTCGGCACCGCCCAGCGCCGCAAAGCTCACCAGCGCCGCCGACGGGCCCCACCCGCAGCGCCACTCAAGCTCCACAGAGCCAGCCCGCCGCCGCTGCGCCCGCGCCACGCAAGAGCTGCGCGCATGCGTGCCGCGCTCCTCTTCCTCACCCCGCCCCCCAATCTCGCGCGTTACTCTCCCTTCCCCCAGCACGGAGAAAGGCGCAAGCGCAGTGAGCCCAGTTCTCCCGCGCCGAGGCGCAGTCGCGGCGCTGATGCGTGCCCCCCCTTCCGAACCTCCCCCCCCCCCCCCCCCCCCCCCCCGTCCATCCTTTTCCACATTCACTACTGCGCCGAATCGCTAGTGCCCTGCGCAGGCGCGATTGCGGCCAGGCTGGCCGGCCCCGGGAAGCTCATTACTCAGATCGCTGGGAGGCAGAGCTGCTGGTGGTCCCTCTCTGCTGTTTGCCCCCGGAGGTGCTGCGGTTCTGCCAGACTTAGCCGTTGCGCCCTTCCCGCCTCGATTCGCTGTTCTTGGCTCCATTCCCTGTTTGCATGCAATCATTCCTCCTGTGGTCCGTTAATCGGAAACGCGGACTGCAGTTACCCGTGTTTGAAACCCAAGTGTGTGGAAAGCCGGAAGAACAGTTTTAATATCGCAAATAAACTTTATCACTGCGTAGGCTGCTGCCAGAGGTCTCCACAATCACCTAAGGATCTACAGGTCTGGTACCCATGTCTCCCTGGAGGAGGAACGAAGAATTAAAATGGACTCTGGAAGGATCAGCAGTCATGCGATTTCCCATGGGAATCCCTCGCTACCTTCTCTCCAGCTCAACAGTCACGTTATCCAACATCTCTATCCGCTGTAGATACCCCTACCCACAGCTTTTCTGTTCATACTATCTTGTGATTGTTCCTATCTTGTGATTGTTTAAGCATTGATCTTCCACACTTAGCTCCCAAAAGATTTTTTAAAAAGTTTTTTTTTCTTGATGCCTGCCATACCTACCAAGTATCTGGTTCGGTGAAGGAAGGGAGAAAGAGAAACATAGGGGCTTAGGAAGGTTCATTATGTAGTTTTCCTATCATCTCATGATGCTGACTCTAGACCAGCAGGAAAAAGAGTAGCCACTTAAAGCATCAAAGCAATAAACAGTATTTGGCTTCTTTTAGGTGGTCAGACAAGGCCTTTCCCCATTCCACAGGTACTCTTTCCCAGTGATTGACATGGTGCTACCTGGAGACGGAGAAAAGGAGTTGATGATAACTAACTGATCATAACTAACATCACTGATAATAACTACATACTGATGTGCCCAGGTACTATTTTAGATGCTATTATTTAATCCTTAAAAGAAGCCTACAGGACGTCCTATCTCTATTTTGTGGATGTGATTAATAGAAGCACATATGATTAAATAACTAGCTCCAAATCATACAAGTGCTTCAGCAGAGCTAGGATTCAAACCCAGGCATCTAATCGTAGAATTCACACTCTTAACAGTTGTAGTGAAGTGTGTGTGTGTGAGAGAGAGAGAGAGAGAGAGAGAGAGAGAGGTGGGTGCTTTAATGTTTGTGCCTTATATGGACTTGAGCAGTAGAGACTGTAGAATTTGGGGGAAGAGGAGAAATAATTTTCCAGTCAAGTGTTTTATAGAGTTAGGAATCCCCTAATGTCTTTTTTTCTAGTTACTTATCTACCTTAGGATTTCATATATTTATTAATGCTGAAGCCAGAACAGGTAACAGTTATAATGGTAGTTCTGCCTGGAGTAGATTTTACAGATCACCGCTGGTTCATTTTGTGGCCTTTAGGGGTCCAAAGAAATGGTTTAACTTGGCACAATGATGCTTGCCTTTGATCCCCAGCTACTTAAGAGATAGAGTCAGGAAGGTGGACATTTCAAGGCCAGTCAGTGCTAGCAGTGTGGCTCAGTGGTAGAATGTCTTGTCTACAAATGTCATGTCGACACAGTGTGAGTTTCTAAGTTCATTTCCCAGAACCTTTCTCCCTCTCAAAAAAGAATGAAAAAAAAGTTTATCATCATTTTCTATTTTGTGTATTTTTACCTCTTTATTCCAGAAGAAAGGGGTTAAGGTAGATTACATAAAAAACACGAAGCACAGTAAATAAAAAGTACAGAGGAAAAAAGAACTGAGAGTGAGGAAGATTAAGCCAGCAGTTTTTGGGATAAATCACAAACGACTCACAGCTTTCTAAATACCAAAGAAAAATGACTTCGGTTACAAATGGAGAAAATACTTTGAACTGGAACAGGGACTTGACTGTAGTGGCTCATAGACTTGTATGCCACTTCCCCAAATCTCTTTCTCTTTTTTAGAGCTCAGGATGAGCTGGGTGCTGGTGGCTCATGCCTGTAATCTTTAGCTACTGATCTGAGGCTGAGATCTGAGGATTGCAGTTCAGAGTCAGCCCAGGCAGGAAAGTCTGTGGGACTCATCTTCAATTAACCACCAGAAGACCGGAAGTGGTGCTGTGGCTCAAGTAGTAAAGTGCTTGCCTTGAGTTGAAGAGTTCAGGGATAGTGCCCAGGCCCAGAGTTCAAGCCCCATAACTGACCACACACGCAGACACACCACACACACACATACACAGACATACACACAAGCTCAGGATGCTTCGAGTCTCCAATTTTCATGGACCTCATGAACATCCACAATTAGGGTTCAAATATATGCAGACATATTTAAAAGACATGAGACATTCAAAAGAAATGATTACGCAGAAAGAGAGTGAGCATTGGTAAGAAAATCACCACAAATTGTCTGAGTCCAATCTCAGCAGAGTTCTGGGGTCCTGAAGACACAGGAATGATTCTGGTTATGGCTTGCTGCTGTCCCTGCTCCATTACCTTGAGGTATTTCACTGTCTTGGAATCCTGGGATAGAATGAGCCCTTCTGCAAATGAAGGAATTTTATGACTAGGGCCCAACCAACTTTTCGATGGGATCCTTCTCTAAAAGAATGATATCCATTCAGAATTCTCAGAATTTGAAGTTGAAAAGAAACTATGTTACATAACCACTCAGCAGATGCTGGGGCAGCTCATCATAATCTAAAACATTCTTTTTGAAGCAAACAATGAATAGTCCCATCATATAAGAGAAAGACTAAACCTAAGCTTGTATCAGAGTTCAGGGCAGATTTGCCATGAAAATAAGTACCCCTATTTTTTTCCCCGAGTAAATTGTGCTTATTGAAGGAAGTTTGGAAAATGTAGAAAAAAATGTAAACATCACTTAGAACCTTATCAGTCCTAGATAGCCACTTTTCCCCCTTCTGGTATTAGGGAATTTAACACAGGCCCTCAAAGTGCTCTATCACTGGAGGCGGTCATAGTCCTTTTAGTATATATATATATATTTTTGCTGGTCATGGAGCTTGAACTCTGGGCCAGGGCACTGTTCTGAGCTCTTCAGCTCAAGGCTAGCACTCTACCACTTGAGCCATAGCACCCACTTCCAGCTTTTTCTGTGTATGTGGTGCTGAGGAATCGAACCCAGGGCCTCATGCATGCAAGGCAAGCACTCTACCACTGAGCCACCTTTCCAGCCCCTGTATTTTGTTTTCAAGATAGGCTCTCAATAATTTTTTCCAGGCTGGCCTTGATATTTCAGTCCTCGCCTCTCGAGTAGCTGGGATTACAGTTTGCACCACTATACCTGGCCTCCTTATTTCTGAATCATGGTTGCTGAAACTTTACCAGAACACTGTGAGGCTTATAGAGATATCCAAATCACTCATGTCACTATTCATGGGTAATTCCAGAAATGTCTGTGAAGGAAAAATTCTGACTATTACACTTCTTGATTGAAAGGGACTTGGGACATAGTTTGAAGCCTTAATAACATTCTGACTTTATTTTCCTTACTAATAGGTAGTATCTAGGAAACTCTGATATCCATTAGACAAAGGCAGATCAGGCTTCAGAGAAACCTAGCCATCACTTACTGAGACCAGGGAGATGTCCCTGTGGATTGTTCCCAAAGAAGGAACTCTGGACTACAATGGACAACAGCCTTGTGTTGCCTTATAGTAAACAGAGCAAAGACTTTCATTGGGATGCTTTTCTTATTTGTCTCATTATTGGCCAGTAGCCACTATGAATGTGAGCAGGTACAGGTTGCAAAATATGGAAGTTGTGATAGCCAGCTCTTTCTTGCCCTGAGTTGATTTATGACAGTTTTTAGATGAATAAATCAATTTTTGGCCTGTCTTTCCATCAATATTATTCCTCTCAGTCACATCATTGGTCTTGAATGGTACTACGTTTAAATTTTTTCAGGTATATTTGGAAGGTAGCTATCCTTTTAATCAAATATTATAAGCTTTTTGCTTTCTTGGGGAGGGTAATTGGGGTTTGAACTCAGTCTCTTTCACTTACTAGGCAAGCATTGTACCATTTGATCCATACCCATAACCCTTTGTACTTTAGTTAATTTTTGGATAAGGCTCAAGTTTATGCCTGGGGTTTGTCCCAATCTGTGATCTTCCTACTCACACCTCACACATGGCTGAGATTATAGCCATACACCACAATGTCCAGGGTATTTCTTGTGATGGAGAGAAGGATTATGTCACTAACTTTTTGCCTGGGCTGGTCTCAAACTTTGACCCTCCTGAGCATTACATCCTTAGTAACTGAGTTTATAGGTATATACCACCCTGCCCAAGAAGATTTAGTTTATTTTCCTTTGAATATAAGAGAATAATAAGGCATGTCTTCAGTCATTTTAGTCCCTAAAACTTAAAGTATATATAACCAAATACCACTTTGTCTTGAGTTAAAAAAAAAAAATCTCTCCCAAAACACATGCGTGTGTGTGTGTGTGTGTGTGTGTGTGTGTGTGTGTGTGTGTGTGCGCCCCACGACGGCCCCCCCCCCCCAGAAAAAGGCAACTGAATTTGGATAAACAACTATCACAAATGGACACTATTTAATGACTAAAGTGTTGATCTGAGACCTTTTCTTTTATGTTGTAATGTTACAAAGCCAGTTGGG